TCCGACCTTCCATTTTGTGTTCTAAATAGCAAAAAATAACAAATTAATTATGGTTGTCGAACGACTAAGCTCTAATATTTATCATGCGTATTGTGAAACCAACCTCGTTTCCAAGAGTCGAAACCAAATGGAGAACCACTAGCCGTCCAAATGGAGAACCACTACCGCCGCAGGCCAACCGCCGTCCGTCCGAAGAGCCGAAGAGAGCCGAACTAGCCATAGAAAGAAGCCCAAATGCGAACGGACGCAAGGAAGAAGACTAAAAGCTCCAAAACCGCCAAATCTAACGTAAAGTCATTTTTTGTCTGTTTCGGCGCCAGTTCGGGTCGGGTTCACGAAAAAACACACCCCTATTGATTTTCCCCGAGTTGATTCGGGCCGGGTCAAGTTAACCAAGCATTTTTTTGAATTTTCATATACAGTAGGACCCAGCTCCACTTGGACTCTAGTCATTGGACTCTGCATGCAACTCACCCTGCAAAGTTCTGAGGCAATAAATTTTCGACACAGGAGCGTCGACTAGCTTTCGGCACAGGAGCGACGCTTCCAGGGCAAACAAGCGAGGCCACGAGTGTAAATGAGAGGGCGAAAGTGGCATCCTTGAGAAACAAACTACGGTGCGAATTTTTGAAAACGTTGTTTGCACTTATAAGCTCTCCCAAACAGACACTCAATTAATATGACAGGGTTCAAAGAACATTTTTGAGTGTCCTAATAATGTTAGAATTTAACGATCTTTGGTCATTGATTTCACCTCGCCGATACACTCGATTTGACTATAAACTTGTTAGATTTGAAATCCATTTGACTTCTAAATTATAAAAAAAAATGGTTTAACAACTTGATATGAAGTTGAATTGAGGCGAATTAGACTAATTTTGTATAATTGAGTCTGTTTGGTCGAGTCAATAATTTTGATAATAAATTTGCTCTTGAAGTTTTTTTATCAAAATTTGATTATTTTTTGTTCAAAAGTTGTCTCAAAATTTGTTTTATGCATTGAAATTCATGTTAAGTGAAAATTTGTTGATGGGGGTTATTTAAAGAATGACAATGTTTTATGGCCCCAATATCCTCTAAAAATTTTGAATGTTTATTTAAGGGGATTTATATACATACACCTCAGATAACTTTATTATATATATATATATATATATATATATATATATATATTCTTGACATAGAACTTTTGTCAAACCATGTTAATGATGTAATATTAGAAATAATTTCTACTAAGGAAACATTTTTATCTCGAAAATATCAAAATATATTAGCGGAAATATATACTACCTTTAAAATAAATTGATATTAATAATATTATTTTTAATAAGATTAAAATTTCAACTATTATAAATATAACAATTAAAGGATATGTTAAAGAAAAGAAAATGTGTTAAACTTACAATGAAATAAAAATTTATCGGTATATAGGTAAATTTTTTTTACATATATATCACCACGGTATTTATTAAGAAACATTGAATGGAATAAAAATTTTATGATATATATGTAAATTTTGTTTTCTTTATCTATCAACACGTTCTCCTCCTAAAAAATACAATAAATCGCCCCCAGCGGCCTTCTGCGAGTAGTCGACTCCTTCGAATCTAACAGAGGAGCAGCAAACAATGTGCGAGGATCGAGAAGACGACTCATCAGCGACGTTCACCTCGTTGCCCAGCTTCGGCCGACCGCCAAAGCTCTACTCTATTCCGCACACAGTCTCCCCACAACACTCCACATCAGAAACAGAAGAAGATGCCACCAACGACGACTTCGAGTTCTCCTTAATGATTAGTGACGCCGAAACTCACCCCCCGATCACCGCTGATGAAATTTTCTCCGATGGTCACATCCGCCCAATCTACCCCGCCATAGCCAAAACCCCCTGCGCCTTCAAGGAAAAACCGAGGCGGCCGCAACTGATCCAGCTTCTGATGGAAGAGTCCAATTGGTCGATATCGGAAGCTTCTTCTTCTTTCGTTGATGAATTGGAAGGGGTCACGCCGGGAACTTACTGCTTATGGCCGCAAGATCGTTCTCAGGGCTCGTTCCATAAATGTTGCAGCACTCAATCGTTGTTCCGTTGGTGGATTCGAGATCCGGGATTTCGCCGGAGTAATAGCGATGGGAGGAAGATCGTGTTTCTTGCTGCAGAAGAGAGGAAGAGATCGACGGAGAAGGTTGATGCGGATGGAGGTAAGAAAAAGGGGAAGGGTGGCGAGAAGAAGGGGAAGGATATGGGTATGATAACTGCTCATCAATTGTACTACGGCAAGACTGATCGTGCAGGGAGCCGGAAGTCGTACCTGCCTTACAAAACAGAGATTGGCGTTTTCTTTCAGAGTGCTGGTTAAAGGTTGGCCTACCATCATTCATGCAATCATGCTACGAACATAAATGGAAATTTGTAGAACGAAAAAAATAAAAACCATATATATTTACATTAAAAATGGATTTTTTTTTCCCATTTGAATCAGCATTAAATCGAGATTGAAATAAAAATTTAAATCGAACCCGAGTTTAAATTAAGGTCAAATCACCTGCCATTTGGAGCTATTTCTTCCAAAGAGTATGTTGGAGTAAACTTAATCAAATGAATATAAAATACTGTTTTTTTTCTTGAACATGTATATTTTAGGAGATAAAAAGCCTAATGCTTCTTTTTTAGTTTATTGTTTTAGATGGAAATATGTGCATAAATTTCTTTTACGTCTTAGAATTTTATTATCTTATTTGACATTTTATATATTATAAAATTTGTTATTTAATTAACTAGTTAAAATATTATTATTATGCCAAAGAGGGTCTAGGTCAAAATATTATCATAATAAATTTCAAATGACAAATTTCGTGAAGGGTTCGAGGCAGTAAGATAGGTAATTGTAACTCATTAATAAAACTTAAAACAATTAAATTATAACAAAACCTAAATTACAAGTTTCAAATGTATCTTGTCTAACACATGAATCCTTGAATTTAAACATTTGAAAGTCAAAATTCATAAAATTTAGACATAAATCATTATTAATTAACAAAACAATACAAAACAACAAAATTGGATTAAATCAAAAGTAATTACAAGCATAACCTCAATATGATTATAATAATAAAAATAGTAATAATAATAATAATAATAATAATAATATGCACGACATGAGTTAGGGTTTAGACTGCACGACATTATCATACAAAGGCCTAAAGATGAGTTTAGGATTTATACCACACTAGGCGGACAATTTCGAAGTCCTATGGCTTCTTGTTTAATTCTAAGGGAATTTGTTGTTGTAAATCCTCATGTTGTTGCGGATTGCTGTTGTAGAAGGCTGCCCACAGAGTTAGTTCTAAGATCTTCGACGAAGTAGCAGTCCTAAAGTCTAAGGGTTCAAAGGTTTAAATGACAAATTTAGTTCAAAATAGGTTGGTTAAGCTGATTAGAGCGACAACAGTTAGGATCCCACAATTCCCTCGTTCCGGTATCACTATTTTCTTTTAAATTCACTTAGCTGAAATGAGTTGTTAATCCATTTAAACCGGAGAGATCTTGTTAGAAACCGTGGATTATTTCATCTGAGGGACACTGTAAATTCAAAAGGGATATTATGAAGTTGTATTTCAAAGGATTTATGGTTACCTTTGAAAGAGTTTAATTTAATTTTGAAATTTGTTGATTAATTTTAAAAAGTTTTTATTCAATCAACCAAGCATGCATGATATGTAGAAGCAGTAAAAAATTGCAGTCAGTGAAATGACAAAAAGTAAATAAAACTGTAAAAGCGTACCTGTCATCTTCATGATGCTCCCGCTGAAATGTTAGAACTTGCAACATATATAATTTTTGCAGGGAATTTAAATAAATTATCAGAACAAAAGGTCGAGATGAAGGTGTAGCAACCAAACTCCAGATCATAAATTGGTGAGTAATTAAAGGTTTTAATCGATGATTTTCTGGAACAAAGTATAATAAGTGTCACTGTCCTACAAAATATCTAAAAGGTTATAAAATTTTATGGGGAACAATCCCTATCAACCTTTAAACCCTTTTAAAATGTTTCAAGTTCGTTTGAACCTATTATATTGTTCAATTGATCATCCTAAATTTTAAATTTTGTTTCAGTGAAATAATACACACTATGCTCAGTGAACCTGATATTTTAATTATTCTAAAAGTGGGGGAGTCAAAATATTCACTCAATGTTTTACTTAAGACTTATGTAAGTGGATGCCCCTAAGGCAAGCTTAAGATCTTGTACCCACCATTAAAGTTGGGCTTGTAGTGTTTAGAGATATTAATCAATCATGTATTTATTTTCTAAACCTCATTAAACAACTTCAACTATCAAGCCTAGCTCACTACTACGCCCTTGACATTTCATGACAAATTTGTAATTATCTAAATATTAATTTAAGTGGAATATATTCTTATCAAGAGATCATGCTATCACCAATTAGGGGCTTCAAGTATGTGAATTATTATCTTCCTAACATAAGCCCATCACTTTTGAATCACCTAATTTTAATTGAATTCCAAATCATGATAATTTGTGAAATTACAATTTTACACTTACCATGAAATTGTGGCAACTTGGTTCCTACCTTTTAACCCATCATATTTCAAACATCCAAAAGAGTTCATTAGGATCAAAATTACTCATTTTCCCTTCGGTTAGTCCTAAATTTTGATTAAGGCATTAAAATCTAAATTTGTCATTTTGCCCCTGGGCTCTCCACTCCATAACTTATCAAATATAACTCAAATGACTTTGAAATTGTTAGAGTACCCCATTCATGGGTCAATTAAAATATCAAATGAGAAAATGTGATTTTTCAAAATTTAATTTAATTTAAATAATTATTTTAACTTAGAAAATAAGATTTTTAATATTAATTTATTTAACTAATCGAAGAAAATTGTTTGTTCATAGGAAAATTATTGGAGGTTCACCTAGGTCAGAGGACCACTTAAACAAAATTTTATACTTTTTCAAGTAATATTTTAATTATCATAATTATTTATTGATTTTAGTGATTTAATTAAATAGAAAATATGTTTTAAGTACAAAAATTACTTTTTATATTTTTATTAAATCTCCCTAACTCCACAGAACTCAAAAAAAAAACTTTCCTTTTTTACAAATTTTATTTTATTTATTATAATTATTTTTAATGGAAAATGAGAGAAAATACATTTTTAGCATTTTAAAATTAAATTTTAACTTAGAAATATTAAGAAAAATATTCTAATGAGTCCCAAGTGATCAAGAAACAATTAGGAACATTTTAGACTATTTTTTTATTTTTACAATTTTTTAATTATTTTTAATTCCAAAATATAACTAAAAAATGAACTATTTATTTTAATATAAATTTTATTTTTCTTGAAAGGTCCTGATCACAGGGAACTCAGAAAATAACTTTTCATAGTTTTCCTAATTATAATTAATTTATTAAAATTATTTTAATGCCAAAAATGCATTTTTTCTTATAAAATCAACTTTAAAGCTCAAACTAAATCAAATAAATTTCAAATTTTTACAATGAGTTAGAATGAATGTTATTTATAGTGTGGAATGATTTTTGCTAATTTATTGAACATTATTTAATTTATTTTAATTTCAATGTGCTTTTAGGGTTTAATTAACTATAGTAATTTGCATAAATATTCAATCCAAATATATATTTTTTCTAAAAGCCCTCTGACCACAGGAAACCTAACAAAATAAATTCCATATTTTTCTAATTTATACTTTAATTTATATAATTATTTTAAGCAAAATAGTCAGCTAAACTTGGAAATTAGGGTTACATGTATAGAGATACTTTCTAACTTTGAAAAAACCACAAAACATTTCTACTATTATGAAGAACAAACCTCGAAAGCTTCAAGTCATGGTGATTATTATTTATTTAATTAAAATTAAGAGACTCCAAGGAGTATTTAATTAATTAAAAATCAAAGTCTCATTAAATAATTTTTCTTTTTATTTTACATCATTCTTCTCAGTTCACTGAGCAATAGAATATTTTTATTTTATTTTTATGATTTTTATACACCAACTTATGGATTTTTTTTAAGTTCTGAAATTAAATAAATACTAAAAAATTCTATTTTTCTACTTAAACGTGTGGTGCTGACTGGATCCTTGTACCGGTCGAAGCTCCGTGTGTCGCTCTCTGATTCCGCATCTCCATCTGACTAAGCCGCCACACAAGTCAAGCTTTATGTTTTATTCATCCGTCCGACGCAATCTTAGTTGTCCATCCGATACATGCGTGTTGACCTCACTTTTGGTTGAGGTTTAGTTTTTCCTCTTTAGTAGCCTAGGGTCTAGCCATAGGACTTTCCTGTTGACTATTTCTAGAGAACTGGAAAATGAACCCTCACCATTAGAAACTCTAAACCATTCTTTTCTCAACTTGAAGTTCCACATATTAGTCATATTCTCTAGCACTTAGTAGGTGGGGTTAATATGGGAGAGCTCAAGGTGAGTCCCTATAGGATTGCTTGGCCTTAAGGTTGACCCTAGGTGTTGGTCTGGAGCTAGTTCACTCACTTGAACTCACTTGCACCCACTTTTACTCACTTTCACTCAAAACTCGAAACCCAAACCTTGTTGACTTTGTTCCTTTGATCCTTTGGGAGACTCTTGTATATGGTCTTCTAGACCCACTAACCTTAGGCTGGGATTTAGCTAGGACTAGTACATAGAGGACCCAAATGGGGATTCCATTGGTCCATGGCTCACATAGAGTGGTTGGCACCTCAATTTTACCAAAATATCACAATTGGACAATTGGCCTTTTGCCCCCCACAATTGGCCTTTTGCCCCCCAAATCTACCAAAATTACCTAAACACCCCCAAACCCTAAATTTGGCCTCTCAATTTCACCTAAAATACCTAAATTTGTTTAAAAAATCATTTCATATCATTTCAAAATACTCACATTGCCCAAAACCACCCAAAATTGCCAAAATTACAAAAATGCCCTTGGTGGCCCAAACTCTCCCAAAACCTCAAAAATCATTTCAAATGTCTCTAAAACCAATTTGAACCCTCCCAATGAGCCCAATTTGACCAATTTGACTTATTTTGACCAAAAGCCCTAAATTGTACTTAAGGGTCCAATTTCCCAAAATTCACCCCAAATGTCCATTAATTTTACCCCAATCTCCCTAATTTCAATTCCAAACTCAAATTCATCATGACTCTGATCATTTCAAACCAAATCAAATTTTAATTTACCCATTCTTTGAGCTCAATTTTGATCCAAACCAAAACCCCAACTTTAACCATATGACCCAATCTCACCCAATTGAACCCCATGGCCCACTCAATTGCCTCAATTTGCATCATAAACTCTTTGAAACATTCCCACACATCAAATTGAACCCTAAATTAACCTTGATGAAGATTCAATTTCATCCAATTTTAACCC